GCTGCTCCAAACAAGACCTCACCAGTGCTAAATACAGTGGGAGAACCATTTACTTTGATTTGCAAATGACACTTCTATTAATATAACCCAGTGTGCTCTTGGCTTTTTTTGCAACAATCTCATTCTACAAATTAATTTTAATATTGTCAAAGCCTTAGTCTTTCTGTCTGTCCATAATGCTTTATTCACACTCTGACTGGTTCTCTCGGCAGCCAATCACAATGCTGACTGAAACAACCAATCAGAGTGCTCCAAGAGTGCTCTGGGCAGGAGGTGGTGGTGGCAGTGCAGTGAAGCGCCACCAGGATGGTGGAGACAGAGGGGACAGAGTAGGAGGGTGAGGCCAGCATGGTGGAGGAAGCTTTCCCTCCCCTCCAGCTCCTGGGAGGTGGCGGTGGCTTGGGGTGGTGGGTGGTGGCGATTTGTCCTTGACTGCCTGCCCACCCCCAGTCATTCCTGACTGGCAATTGGTTAGTCATTAATAAAGATATTACTGGACCCAGGACAGAACCCTGGGGACCCCACTTACTAACTCCTTTCAACTAGACATCAAACCACTAATGACTACTTATTGAGTACAATGATCCAACAAGTTATATAGCCACCTTGCAGTAGTTTCATCTAGTCTGTATTACCTTAGTCTGTTAATGAGAATGTCATGAGTGACAATGTCGAAAGCCTTGCTCAAGTAAAGGTATATCTGCTGTTCTTCCCATCCACAGCGTCTGTCACCTTGTCATAGAAGGAAATCAAATTTGTCAGGCATAACTATTTCTTCATGAATTCATGCTTGCTGTTTCTGATCAACTTATTCTCTACCAGGTGCATAGAAATGACTCCTCCATGACGTGTTCCATAATTTTTCCTGGTGTTGAAGTCAAACTGAGCAGATCTTCTTTCTCCTTTTTCTTAAAGATAGGCCTAAAACTTTCCCTATTACAGTCATCTGGGACTTTATCCAACCTCTACAAGTTCTAAAAGATGGGAGCCAATGGCTCTAAAATTACCTCATCCAATTTCTTCAGGACATCAGGGCCAACATATTTTATAATAGCATGTGAACATGTAATTAAAGACCCATTTGCACAGAAAAGCATAATTAAAGCTGTACAAGCTACCTTCATTCTTATATTTCCTAACTTCTGAGTGCTTGGCTTTGCAATCTTACTATTCTTTGAATATATGTTTTTGTGTGTAATTTCCCAGTCTTTTAAAAAAGTAAACTGAAAAAATAAAATTCCTTTATGTGGCATTACGTGGACCCCTAAGTGTATCATCCGCAGAAACAGAATCTTTAGATCTGCAGCACAGACCTCTGCCACCTGTGCTAAGCAAGTAACTGATGCCAGTAATGGGTTGTTATCTTTGGTGTGGATAAGACACAGTTTAGCAGTGGCTTTCACTGCTATTTGTTGACAACTAAGTATGGTGATTGTGTTGGCTAGTATCAGGCTGTCTCTGACCTCTTTTTGAGATATCTGTGCCCTGGCATTCTTTTATCTTAAAAAACCTTGGTTACCAACAAGACACCACTGAAGTCTAGAAGGGCTGGGAAAAGATACTAATGAATCAGGTTCCTCCAGGCAAGTTAAGAGGGCTTGCCTGCTTTGGGTGACAGGGAATGAGTGATGGATGAATCTGGGATAGGAGAGAAGTTTGTCAGGCTGAACACAGAATCGTAGGCTGGGCCAGGGTCTGACCATCAGTCTCTGCCTTTGCGTAGGTGGTACAATCAATGAGCTACATTTGTTTGTTTCTGTTTAAAAGTCCAGAGACAGCTAAACTTTGAGTTTAATTTTAATTAAACTATCAAAGGACTAGCAAAGAGCATGCTACCCAAGTTAGTCTGCTCTGGGTAGGCTGCCAGAATGATACTCAGGAGTTTGGGGTTCAAGTGCTATTTATGGAGGGAAATGTGCTAGCCCTGTTTCTCTTGCCATCCAGCTCCTCATCCCAATTCTAGCCACCTGCTGTGTCTCCCATTTCTAGTCTCCATTCCCTTAGACTCTTTATCCTCCTTCCAGTTTTCTCACCCAGCTGGTTCTTGTCTTTGTTCCTGGATTCTGTGTCTGAGTCTTCATCTTTCC